TGGTCGACTCGATCAAGCAGGTCGCGGAGGCCCGCCAGAAGGCCAAGAAGGATGAGGAGGAAGCGGCGGCTGCTAAAGCTCGTGCTGAGGCGGCAGATCGTCATCATGATGAGCGTGATGCTGGTGGTGCTGCTGCTGACACCAGCGACGCTGCAGGCGATCACGACATCGACATGGATGCAGCCATCGGCAACCTCAAGCAGGGTGACTGGATGGACAAGCTCGTCAGCTCTGCAGGTGAGAGCGGCATCACTCGATCGCAGCTGGAGGCTGCGCTCGATGAGGCTGGTGCTGATTTCAAACGCAAGCGCCTTTAGCCGTGCGGCTAGATGCGCAATGGGGCCAAAGGCCCCGAGGTTTTGGAATATTGTCTCTGCCAATGTTACTGATCGCTCTGGGCTTGACATTTTCCTCTCCTCCCCCTCTGTGCTCCAGGCTCAGCTGGTCGGTGTGCAGGAAACGCGGGTGTTGGAGGTTGAAGCTTGTGAGCATAAACTCAGGCGACAAGGGTGGAGAGCCAAACTTTCGCCAGCCCGTCAGACGGCTGGAGGCGGCATATCTGCTGGCATCATGCTTGCTGTGCCAAAGCATATCGGCCTGGCGCCGATTGAGAGCTTTCCGATCGACGTGCAGGTGGGGAGGATGATGGTTATGCATGTGGGAGGTCTCGTACCTGGGGGTTTCCTAGCGTGCACGCTCTATCTGCATCACTCTGTCGGACTTGCGCCAGCCAACTGGGATCTTCTCTGCAGGCTAGGCGCGCTGCTGAAAATGGCCAACATGCCGTTCCTCATCTTCGGGGACTTTAATCTCGAGCCCGACGTGCTCCAGCATTCAGGCTGGGTTGATGCAATCGACGGTGCTGCCATATACACGGATGCTGGAACTTGTGCTCCAGCGCACAGGACCATCGATTTTTTCGTTGTCTCCCAGGCGTTTGCGGCGAACGCCTCGGTCTCACTGTTGGCAGAAGTGGAGATCACTCCACATATTCCAGTTAAGTTGAAGTTACCCACCTTGGACACTGTACCCTCGGTGCGCATGGCTATGGTTCCCCGCAGGTTCCCCAGAGAGTTGCCCATTGGTTGCCGTGGAGAGCCCAACTTAGCCAGGTGGGAGGTGGCGTCGGAGATGATGAGCAATGCTAGCATATCTAAGTCGTGGCAAGTTTTCGTCTCGGCTGCCGAGCTCGAATGGTTAGAGGTGTATCAGATTCCCGCTGAGCTTTCGAAACCGTACATTGGGCGTGGTGGTGATGTTCGTACTGGGTGGTGTCGACCGAGCCGGCCTGCTCCAGTTCCTTTTCCACGTCTGAGCCCTCAAGCTGTGTGGTGGAGAGCCTTGGCCCAGGTCCTCAAGACCCTCGCGAGGCCCATCAGCGTTGCCCAGACCAAGCAAGTGCGGTGCAGGATCCGACATCTTCAGAGCTCGCCAGATGTTCCAGATTCGATTCTCGCGGTTTGTTTCCTGGAGGCCCTTGATCGGTTTCGCGTCTTTGATTACGTAGTCATGGACTATTTCGCCGCCGTCGCCAGCGACACTGCCGAGCGCCTGCACAAGCAGGCAACCCAGCTGAAGATAGTCAACTGGGACCGATGGGTTAAAACGCACTCGGTAGGTGGGGCTGCGGCGCTCTTCAAGTATGTGCAGCTGCCTGACCCTTGGCAGCCGTCCACCCTCGACTCCTTCACCCTCCGTCCCAACTCCAGCATGGGGGAAATGGATGAGCTTGAAAGGGAGTGGAGCAAGTGGTGGCAGGTGGGGGTCGCGCAGCCCCCCGTGCACTGGCCAGAGGATCTCGGAGAGCGCCCGCCTCCCCCCACGGTCCCAGAGCTCAAGAAAGTGTTGATGTCCTTCCCGCTAGGCACTGGTTGTGGATACGACCAGGTCCCGCCTAGGAGTTTTCTGCACTTGCCCGACGTTGCGCTCGAGCTTCTGTGCGGCCTCATCGGGAAGATTGAGGAGCAGGCGGACTGGCCTCCCCTCACGAACAAGATTGTTTTTATTCTCAAAAGATTGGGAGGAGTCCGACCTTTGGGGCTGTTACACGTTCTCTGTCGGGTGCAGTCCAGGCTGAGAAGGCCTTTGATCAGGCAATGGCAAGTCAAGAACTATCGGAGTTTCTGGTGGGGTACCAAAGGAAAAAGCGCTGACATGTGTGTGTACATTCAGGCAGTGTGGGCGGAGTATTTTCAGTCTAAGGGCCTGTCATCCGCTACGTTGCTTCTCGATTTGAAGAAAGCGTTTGAACTGGTCAAGCATCATCATCTTGTCCAGGCGGCCACTCGCACTGGATTTCCATTGTGGCAACTGCGTTTGCTTGTGCAAGTCTATCGGTCGCCCCGCCTGCTTGATCTCCAAGGGACTGTCAGTAATCACATCACGGCGGAAACTACGATTATCCCTGGGTGTGGGTTTGCTACTGTTTTGCTGCAACTGGTTTTGCTGGGCCCCCTGGATGTTGTTCAGAAAGAGTTTCGGGCCATCTGTCTTTCCGTGG